TGTTGTCAGGCCCCTCCCAGCTCTGACATCCCCTGTTGTCAGGCCCCGCCCAGCTCTGACATTCCTTGTTCTCAGGGGCTTCCTAGCCCTGGCATCCCCTGTTCTAGGTCCCCTTTCAGCCCTGACATCTTATGACTCTTCTTGGCATAAATATAGGCCTCTCCCACTTAAAGTGATTCACTGGGGGCTTCACCCATGATTAACTTCAGACCACCATTGATAACCCCCCAGAATCTCTCTAGGACTTGGTCCTGAGTCTGAGCTGGCAGCCACTTTTTGGCGGGCACCAACAAATTCCCACTGAGCCCGTGGCCTTGCCACCGGCGGCCCGAGGGTGCAGAGGTCCCTTTCCTGGTGTGGCGTGCCATGGTGCTCCCAGACACCTGCCCTTTGGAGTCTCCTGTGCAGTGTTCGCCCTGGCTGTTATTTGACCAGCGTGGGATGAAATGGGGACACCAGGGTGTCTGATTCTCTGCTGCCGGGTCTCCATGGCAGCCAGGGGATTTACCCAAAGAAAGCCAGCCCTACCCTCCTCAGAGGCTCAGCCACAGTGGTCCCTCCTCCTGGGGTCGGCTTTGGTCCCTTGTCCCTCTGAGCTTGGGGATCTCAGGTGTGGGTGTCCACAGCTCCTCCTCCCCTGAGTACTTGGGCTTTGAGAGTTACTGAGGCTGAAAATTTATGCCCCTGGGGCCAGCCTGGGGCTGTCACATCTGGTCTGCCTAAGACTCAGGTCCAGGCCGGGCCTCAGGGCCTTCCCAGCTGGGGGGTCCTGTCTGAGCTCCGGCGAGGGTCCCCCCATGCCAAGAGGAGGCCATGGAAGGGCTCCCTGGGACTGCTCAGCGCCGGATGCCCACAGCCTCTCCCCGGCACCCCCTCTGCCTTCCAGGTGCCTTCCGAAAGCTTGCACCTTGTGGGAAGAGATTCTCCAGGACTACCCCACCGACATTCTGGCTCTGAAGTTTTCCCACGATGCCTACTTTTACCTGGGCTATCAGCCCCAGATGAGGGACTCTGTCGCTCGGGTTCTTCCGCACTGGACTCCCAGCATTCCCCTCAGCAGGTAGGGGGCTCTTTGGGAAGTGTGGGCCGGATTTCCGCGGTAGGAAGCAGCCGCCCCCAGCTGGCAGGAGCCGGATGGCCCTGGGCAGGGGAGCTACAGAGGGCGAGTCCGGTGTCTGACTGAAGGCCTACTGCCGCCGGCCGCTGTGGGGAACACAGGGCCAGTCTCCATTTGCATCCCCAGAACCTGGCACGTAGTAGGCACTGAATGCACACTTGTCTGTTGACTGATTCTCCTGGGAAGAGGCCACTCGTGTGTAGACACATGAGTCAAAAAACACACACATTTAAAAGGAAGTAGGTCATTGTGGTGGGGATGGGAAGCTCCAGAGGCTTCGAGGTCACTGACCAGAGCTGCCTCACAGACACCTGCACTAAATGCCCTGAGTGCCTGGCACATAGTAGGTGTGGATTATAATAATAATAACAACAGCATAATAATATATATGATAACGACATGATAAATGCGGACTGATTGGGAAAAGCCTTCTTTTCTTTCTCCCTTTCTCAGCTACGTGAAAGGTATTTATTCTTTCGGATTGATGGAAACGAACCTCTATGATCAGGCAGAGCAGCTGGCCAGAGAGGTAAAGGCTGTTGTCCAGAGCCATCTCATTCCCTCTTTCTTCTTCTGCAGTGAGAGTGAATAATCCCATCCTGCCCCACAGGGCTGACTTTTAAATTAGCCTCCAGTGTAGAGCTAACCTTGAGTCCTTGGTATTCTTTCAGTAAATGTCTCTACAGCACCTACTGTGTGCAATGCACCATGCTTAAGCACCTACTGTATGTGACGTGCCATCTTTGGCATGGGTGGGGGTGGGAAATAAAGGTGAAGAAAGCATCCCCTCCCTCATGGGGGTTCTACAGCAAGTGACACAGGATACGAGCTAGAGAAAGGAAGTGGAGAGTAGTACAGATAAGACCGGACTTGGAGTCTGAGGTTGTGGGTTCTAATCCCATTTCTGATTCCCATCCAGACTAGCCATGTGACCATAAGCAAGGAGTGTCTCCTTTCATTGGCCATAAATGGGGAACATCGCACCACCGCTGACCCCTCCTTCCCAGGCTTGTTGTAGAGATGGTCCCGCAGAAACTGGAAAGTGCCATATTCATGGGAACCGTTCTGGGTGCAGTGAGAAAGAGCCAATTGTTGGACGCATGGCTCATTTCCAGGCTTTAGCCATCCAAGATGGCGCTGGTAGGGATTCTCAGGGGCAGGATTGTGTAGCTTCTCCCCACAAATGGTAACAATTCCCAGGTCTACCAGGGCGCATGAGGGAGCACGCCAGCTTTTCCACAACCTTCCAGCATGGAATTTATCGTCTTTTATTAGATTTGCTCTTTGAAGGGGTCTGATCTCTCTCCTAGACTGAGTGCTCCCAGAGTGCAAGGACTGTCCTATCTAATCTTTTTGTCTTGCCCCTCTGAGCACAGGGCTACAATTAGTGTGACTATATACAGTAAGTGCTCAATATGTAGGGAATACAGTGGGTACTTAACAAGTGCATGTTGGTTGAATGGCAAAACGGCCACCCCAGAAAGGTTTCATCCTTTGTTTTCTCTCCTACTGACACCAGCTTACAGCAGCCGTTCCCCCAGAGGGGCACATTCACTCCTGAAATTCCCATTTTTCATTTGTGTAATATTTAGGCCTACAAGAATAAGAGGCAGTTATCTGCCTGTGATAGGGGCAGGAAACAGCATGTAGTGAGTGTTTTATCACTGCTTATGGACTGACTAGGCAGCTAGGGAGTGAAGTGGATAGAGAGCCTGGAAGACCTGAGTTCAGATGTCCCTCAGACACTTCCTAGCTGTGTGACCCTGGACAATCACTTCATCCTGTCTGCCTCAGTTTCCTCCTCTGTCAAATGAGCTGGAGAAGGAAATGGAAAACCACTCCAGTATTTTTGCCCAGAAAACCCCAAATGGGGTCACACACTGAACAACAAATCAACGGACTAGCATTCTTGAGCGCCTGGGGGTAGAGAGAGAGCGCTCGAAGCCCGCGTTTGCATCAGTCTCTGTGACCGTGGACCCTTCGGGTCTCCCCTGTCCCCAGCCTCACCTTCCTCATCTGTAGAATGAGCATAAGCCCAGACAACATCCTGGCTCCGGTGAGCCACTGTGAGACCTCTTCTTTCTGGTGCCGATTACGCATCTTGGACCCCCGTGACGCAGAGCCCTAGGGTTCCATTTGGCTCCTGAGGTCAGAACTAGGAGAAAAGGGTCAAATTTAGGATGGGCGTCAGGGAAACCTTCCGGCCAGTAAGAGCTTCCCCGACTCCGTAGTGCTCGGGGAGGGTGGGGGCTGGGGAAGAGTCAGCCTCACGGGGGGGGGGGGGGCTGTCCCTCCCGCTTGTCCTAAGAGTTATCTTGGGAACCGTGTCCAGTCTGGGCTGGACGAGGGGACCCACAGGGAGCCGGGGGATTACTTCCTGCCTCCTTTCCATCCCCACAGGCTCTGTCCGTGAATCCAACAGATGCCTGGTCAGTCCACACCGTGGCCCACATCTACGAGATGAAAGCAGAGATCAAGGACGGACTGTCCTTCATGCAGAGCTCGGAATCCAACTGGAAGGTAAAGGCCCCACTCCCTAATTACTGCCGAGCTCGTTTAGTGGGCCCCGTTAAGGGACAGTGATAGGGGCTGGGGGAGAACGTTCTCAGTAAATACACTGGCTCTGAGGAAAGGCTTGGGGGGGGAGACCCCTGGTCAATCGAGGCCTTTGCTGTTGTGAGTGATTCAGGGGACACACCAGCCGTGCACCTCTTACCATGTCTCAGACTTCCGTGCAGCCGGGGTCAGCCCAAGGTTTTGGAATAGCAAAAGGAATGAATGAGTGAGCCTTCTTCCCTCTCTTCTGCGTCCTCAGAGATGGGGGTGGGGGGACCCTCCCTCCACTGATGCAGATTGCGACCCTCTGCTTTAGGAGATGGCCTTTGGAGGTCACTGTGGCTGCAGAGTTCATCCCCTAGCCAACCCGCCCGGTGAGCCTCCCTCGCTGAGGGTGGGCTGGTCCTCTGAGAGCAGATTCTCTTGTGCTTCTCTGGACCTGGCCTCGGGAGCCGCCCGAGCCTGCTCAGACACGAACCAAGCCTGTTCTTTGGGAGGCTGGGGAGAAGGATGAGGGGGAAGAGGAAGAGCGGGAGACGTCAATGAAGGAACTAAAATGGGGGGGATGTGCCCCAGCCTAAGAAGGCACCTGAGGTAAAGAAGCAGGAGCGAAGGGCTGGCCGACGAGTGGAGACCCTCAATGAGCAGGACAGCCCCAGGAGTCCGTGAAGCTGGCCTAGCTGAGCGAGCACGGGCTGCAATCCGCAGCTGTGGAGGCGAGGGATGAGCCGTTCGGATCCCTCCCTCACCTAGCTTGCCATCCACACAAGCTTACAAATCTGGCTGATCATGGTCATTTATCTTGTATGTAGGGCAGCTGGAGGGTGCCACAGTGCCCAGGGTGCTGGGCCTGGAGTCAGGGAGACCTGGGTTCAAATCCAGCCTCAGACGCTGGCTAGTGCACCTCTGTCTGCCGCAGTTTACTCATCTGTAAAATGGGGATCATAACAGCACCAATCTCACAGGGTTGTTGGGAGGATCGGATGAAATAATCACCGAAAGCACTTAGCACAGTGCCTGCCTCCTATTAGGTGCTATATAAATGCTGGCTAGTATCATTATCATTATTATTATTATTCCTTTTCCACAAGTGTATATCTGTCTATGCAAGTGAGTGCATGAGTGTGAGTGTGTGTGAATATATGTGTGCACTTCCAACTCTGCCTCTCTCCTGAGCTCCACGGCCCTCGTTGCAGCTGCCCACTGGACACCTCCCCTGGCATACTGCAGGTGCCTAAGCGGTGCTAGGTTGGTTGACTGACTGGTTGGGCTGCCCCAGTGGCGCTCGAGCTGGCACACTGACTGGTCCTCCTCCCTCCAAGCCCTGCTCTCTTCTTCCTGCCCCGCCGCTGCTCCGTGGGGCTCAGAACCTCTGCCACGGCTTTGGTGCGCCATTCAGTCCAGTTGGATCTGATAAGCGTTTGTTCTGCACCTACTGCATACAGGCACCGTGCTGGGCACGGGGATGGGAGGAAAAATAAAGGCCGCTAGGTCCCTCCTCTCCTACTGCACAGACCCCCCCCCAGCTCTCATCAGCCTCCCAAGGGGCCTCCTGCCTCCGCTGTGCCCCCCCAGTGCTGGACCTTCATTGAGTCTCCCCGCTGCCTACAGGACGGCCTCCAGACACCTTCCTTTGGCTCCCCCCCCCCCCCCCCCCCCCCCCCCTTGCAGGACCCCCTCCGTCTCCTCCCCCCTCCCCGCCTTTCGCCCTACCCCCTATCCCCCAGGATCCTCTCCCAGTGCGTGGGTCTCCTCGAAGCTTCGCCTGACTCTCCTGCCTTCCCCCACGTCTTTCCTGAGTGGGGCCTCGAAGGACAAGGACAGGGTCAGGTTTCTCCCTGACGCGTTTGTTCCCTCCGCAGGACCGCGACATGCTCGCCTGTCATAACTACTGGCACTGGGCCTTGTACCTGATAGAAAAGGTGAGTGGTCAGTGCCCGTCCAGGAGCGCCCCTTTGCTGTCGGGGCGGCGGAGGGTGTGCACACTTCAGGGCGGGCCGCCCGGTTATTCGGGGGTCCCCGAGTGAGAAGGGCTCCCCCAGCTGTGGCCGTTGTTCCTGGGGCGTCGACGTCAGGGGGCTGCAGCGATGCTCTGCTACTTTCTCCCGTGGGGAGCGGGCCTCGCCCGGCCAGCTCCCCGGCCCCACAGCGCCCCATCCCGGGCCAGCCTTCCAGCTGGGACCGTTCTCAGCAACACCAGCCCCTCAGATACCCATCCTCTCTTCAGTTGTTTTTTGCTCCACGTGAAAATATTTCTAGTACCATGTCTAGGGTTTCCCTCTCCCACATCTCTGACGGCCAGTTCCCAATCTCAGTGGGGTGGCCAGTGGATGAAGGAAGTGCCAGGCTTGGAACGAGGAGGACCTGAATTCAGATCCAGCCTCGGGCACTTCCTAGCCGTGTGACCCGGGCAGATCTCTTCACATCTGTCTGCCTCAATTTCCCCTTCTGTAAATGGAGATGATCACAGCATCTGCCTCCCAGGGCTGTTGTGAAGATCCGATGAGATCCTCTTTGTAGATAGGAAATAATAGGAGGTAATAAGGTATGACATGCGTATTCACAATGTAAAGTGTTTTGCAAACCCATCCAAATGCTATTATTATTATTACTTGGTTACCTCCAGGTGACAGTGGGCTCCCTAGCTGCCACCTGAGCTACCTTCTACTCATTTCCCTCAGAGACTCTAAAGAGCCTCTTGAGAAGTGTATTCCCAGTGCCTAGCGCAGGGTCTGGTACACAGTAGAGGCCTAACCAGCCCTTGTGGATTCAGGCCCAGTTTTTTTTTTTCTTTTTGGTGAGGCATCGGGGTTAAGTGATTTGCCCAGGGCCACACAGCTAGTAAGTGTCAAATGTCTGAGGCCAGATTTGAACTCGGGTCCTCCTGACTGTGAGTCTGGAGCTCTATCCACTGCGCCACCTAGCTGCCCCTCAGGCCCAATTTTAAGGTCACTCTTGGGTCTTGGCATACCGCAGCTGGTGTGTGCCGAGAGCCGGTAGGTCTTAGTAGGACGGCTGCCTGGGATCAGGACGCCTGGATTCCGGTGCCATCTCTGGTGCTGACTGGCCGAGCCTAAGAATAAACATATTGACAGATGACCAGTACCCAGCGTCTCTGAGGCTCCAGGTGTGTTCTGGGTGCTCGTCCTCTCCCGGGGCGAGCTTTGTGAGCCTCTGTCTCCCCTCCCCCAGGGGGGTGAGAGTGCTGTGGGATTTGAGCTGGTCTGCTCCCCCTCTGCCCCCTCCGCACTGAAGGTCACCTAAGAGGGGCGACTCTCAGGACAAAGCGAGCCGATGGTCGCCCGAGAGCACCTTCCCTGGTTCCTTGTGTCCTGCCGGCTGGGGGCCCCCGGCCCCAGGGCCCACCTCTAGCAGGGGACGGTTTCCTCAGCCCAGACCCTGCCAGGCTCCATTCTCTACCAGGCATTCCAGGGATGCCAGCACTGGGGCGCAGCTTTCTGGGGTGAGGGCTTCCCCAGGATTCCTGGGCTTTTCTCCACTCAGCAGCCCTGGAACGGCTGGCTGAGAGAGAGCCAGCAATTTGCCCAGGGTTACACAGCTGAGACGTCCCCTTGCCATGATTCAGACCAGGGCCTTCCTGACCCAAATCCAGCGTGCTTGACCTTACGCTCCAGACAGTCGGCCCACTGTTAATGACAAGGGGACTCTTTTCCAATCATGTGGGAGGCCAGGTAGTGTGATAGGCCAGGCACTCCCTGGCTAAGGAGTCAGAGGCCCTGAGTTCCAAGTCCACATGACTCCTGTGACACCCTGGCTAAGTCCCTTCTCTTTGGGGCATCCTCTGCTGAACAGTGAGCCTGACAGACCAGAGGGCCCCCGGGGAGCCTTACAGCTCTGCCTCCGGGGTCCTTCGATTTCTTAAGAATTACATTTTGTCATTTTAATTTTATTTTTCATTTAATTTCTTTGTCAATTTACCAAAATCTGTTTCTTCTCCCTCCAACCTTCACTGCACTGAGAAAAAGAAAAGACACACGTGCAGTCCAGCACAGCCTACCCCGCACTGGCCGTGTCCAGAGCGTACGTCTCAGTGCCCCCCAAGGCCAGTGCCTCAGTCAGGACGTGGCCCAAGCTTCAGGAACCACTTCTCGTGTCCGGTCAGACAAGCGTCACTCAGAGTCCCCTTATTTTTTGTAGGGTGAACACGAGGCGGCCTTGACGATTTACGACGAGCATGTAAGTCCACATGTCGACCCCCGCCCTTTACCCTGGGCCCAGCCAATGTCTTCTGGGCAATAGGATCCCACCGTGGCGGATGGGCCTGGCACTATGGGCAGAATGCGCTGTGGGGGGCTCTCCCCAAGGCCTCCCTCCAAGCAGCCCCAATCACTGGTCTAATGTTGGGGTTCCATTAGTGACATTGAGTCGTACGTACATAGGGCCTCCGCCGCATCAGCTCTGTCTTATCCAGAAAGAAGCATTGGGTCAATAAAACATGGCGTGCCCAAGACCGGGGAGTATTAACACTGCCCAAGGCAGGCAGCCTCTTACTGTGGAAAGAGGGCTAGGTGTGGAGACAGAGGACCTGGGGGCAACCTTGGCTGGCTGCATGACCTTGAACAAGTCACTGAACTTTGGGTCTCAGTTTCCCCCTCCAAGAATGGGTCAGTAAGAGGCTTCCTAAGCCTCTACCGTGTGGTAGGAAGGTAGGTGCTAGGACCAGGTTCCAGGTCTGTCTTCTGCCTCCCAGAGCACCAGTGTCTTTCCACTGAAAGTTCCACCTCTTCCTCCCTCTCTCTGCCTCTGTGGCCCCATCTGTGAAATGGGGAGAAGGACGCCCATCTCGTCCTGCTTCACAGGGTCATGAGGAGGAGACAGGCTGTCCTGGATGGTGAGGGCCAGGAGGGCCGGAGTGGGGAGCGTCCTCCCTGTGGCCAAGCGTACAGCGGCTGCTGGATTTGTGTTGGGAAGTGAGGGAACCAGCAAGCTCGGTTAGAGTCCTTTCTTGTCCACAGAGTTTTCTGTAATGAGGACTTACCTTCATTGAAGTGCTTACATTAAGCTTTATGAGAAAGTTCTATACTCAGATGAAGCCTCCTGACGGGTAACAATTCCCAGACTACTCAGCCAAGAGCCAAGTTCAAATCCAGCCTCAGCCACGTACTAGCCGTGTGACCCTGGGCAAGTCATTTAACCTCTGTCTGCCTCAGTTTCCCCTTCTGTGAAACGGGCATAACAGTAGCACTTGCCTCCCCAGAGTTGTTGTTAGGATCAAATGAGATAATGTTTTGTTTGTTTGTTTGTTTGTTTTTTGAGTTCATTTCTTTTTTAAAATTAATTTATTTTGATTTATCAACAATCACTTCCATGTGCTTTTGAGTTTAAAATTTTTCCCCCTCCCTCCCTACCTTCCTCCCTAAAACGGTGCCCAATCTGATATAGGCTGTACATATACATTCCTATTAAACATATTTTCACGTTAGTGATGTAAGAATTAGAGCCAATAGGAAGAACCACCAGAAACAGAAAACAAAACTCAACAGAAGAAAAAAATAGCAACTAGTCTGCTTTGATCTGCATCCAGACTCCATAGTTCTTTCTCTGGATGAAGATGTGGGAGATGTTAAGGCACTTAACACAATGCCTGGCACACAGTAGGCACTATATAAATGCACATCATTATTATTATTGTCCGTTTCATGAGTGCAGATAACTCCCAGGATGGAAACGACCTCCACAGTGGCCAATCAGCTCCTTGTCTGTAACTTACTGTCTTAGAGAGTCACCTTAGACACAAGAGGTTAGGTGACTTGCCCAGGGTCATCAGCCACCCAGGGCGGGACTCGAATCCAAAGCTGGCCTTTCTCCATGAAGCCGCACTGCCTCTGTTGGGCGACTCTGCAGCCACCCAGAATAAAAGAGGCTGTCCCTGGGGCCTGGACCCTGCTGGGGAAGCGCTTGCAGGGCTCTCACGGGCTCCTGGCGGGGGCTGGGGGGTCCTCAAAGACCACTGCCTGGCCCAAGTTGAAATGTTGGTGTTGCAGATTGCGCCCAGCCTTCTGTCAACTGGGTCAGTGCTCGACATGGTGGACAGCTGCTCCATGCTGTACAGACTTCAGATGGAAGGTCAGTCGGTCTTCTCCCTTCCCTCCAGAAATGATCTGGCGTCTGGCCTTGGCCTGATGCTGCCTGACATTCTCATCAATGACTTTGATAAATGCCCAACCAAGGGGCAGCTAGGTGGCACAGTGGGTAGAGCACCGGCCCTGAAGTCAGGAGGACCTGAGTTCAAATCCGGCCTCAGACCAAACACTTGACACTTTCTAGCTGTGTGACCCTGGGCAAGTCACTTAACCCCAACTGCCTAAAAAAAATAAAATAAAATAAAAATAAATAAACATTTAAAAATTAAAAAATTAAAAAAAGAAGATAAATGCCCAACCTCCCAGGGAATCAAAGGACGGTGGCAGACATATTGGACCCCAGGCGCCCCAAGCCTCAGCAGTCTTGAATGTTGGCCCAAGTCTAAAAATATTCAATTTGACAGAAACCAATGTAAAGTCTTACACTGAACCCAAAAATCAATTTCGCAAGTCAATGAAAGTTGAGCTTTGGCTGGATAACGGTTTGCCTGAAAAAGAGGGTCTTAGGGGACTACACGCTGAACATGAGTCAGCTGGGGAAGCTAGGAGCCGAGCAAGTTGGCGCAGTCTTTGCTACATCGAGGAAGCCATGGGGCCCAGAGCTAGGGAATAAGGGAGGGAGGTAGGCAGTGCCCTGCGTGTCCCATTGAGCTCAGAGAACCACGTTTGAGGAAAGCTTTTGCCACGCTGGAGCTTGACTGGAGGTGGGGATCAAAATGGAGGGGGATCCTGATTCTGGCGTGTCCCTTCCCTCTGAGCCTCAGTTTCCTCCGTAACTGGCCTTCTCTAAACGAGCTCATGTTGTGTGCAGGCGTGCACGTGGGGGATCGCTGGCAAGCCGTGCTCCCGGTGACCAAGCCCCATTCCAGGGACCACATCCTGCTCTTCAATGATGCTCACTTCCTCATGTCCTTCCTGGGGGCCAAAGACCATGGAACCGTCCGAGAGCTCCTGACCACCCTTCAGGAACTGAGCCAGTAAGCACGCAGGGGCCGGGAGTACCGGGGGACCCAGCTCCAGCCTTCTGCCCCCCTTGTTCAGTGCTCCCAGGGAGGAGGGTGAGAGGTCTGGAGGCAGCTCCCGCTTCCTCCTGAGGCTTGCTGATGGAATGGGCAGAGAATCCTAATTCTGGGGCCTCTTGCTGTGGGAGAGCCCCAGTCAGATCCTGTCTGGGGGCAGGCGTTCTGGTGGGTGGCACATTTCAGGCAGGTGCTTGATCCGCTGGAGGGTGTCTGGAGGAGGGAGGATGGCCAGCGTGGTGAGGGGTCTTGATTCCATGACATACAAGGAGTGGTTGAAGGATCTGGGCATGGTCAGTCTAGAGAGGAGAAGTCTGGCTGGGTGGTGGGGGAAGGGGCAGGGACAGTAGCTGTCCTGCACAGGAGGGATTTGCCTTGCTCTGCTTGGACCCCGAGGGCAGAAGCAGGCAAAGGGGAGGAAGGAGCAGAGAGAGAAATGTCTGTGACCAACAGAGCTTTGGCAAAAGGGCCGGGCTGCTTCCTGAGAGAGGAGACCCCTGACCCCCATGCCATGCTCCTCAAGCAGAGGCCAGGAGGTCACTGAGCAAGGATTTGGGGAGAGGGGCTTCTGCACCTGCTATTGGCATTGGCAAATCCTCACCAGGATGAAATGGTTCTAGAGCTCCAAGGCTGGCCTGGAAACTTCCCAAGATCCAGGGTGTTACTGGCAAGGACACCAACGGGGGCAGGGGCTTCCAACCCTAATGAATATCAACACCTTCTGTGGGCTCAGCCCGTGTAGGGAAGACATCAGCCTCAGGGAGAGAAGACACGAATAGACCCTGCTTACCTGTCCCTCCCTCACACCTGAGGAGCAAGTTAGGGAGGAGCAGACCCCCACGGGAGGTCCAAGGGAGCAGCCTGCTTTTCACAAGGGCCCTGAGGGAGGCTTCCTGGAGGAGGCCTTCAGGTCTCATCAAGCACAACCAGGGCAACAGAGAGGGCAGGAAGGCCCAGGATGGGGGGCCGGGAGTGTGGCCGGGGTTGGTGGGAGTGTGGACGCAGGAGGGCGCCGTGAATGCTGGGCAGACACCTCCTCGGGGCCCTTGGGAGCCCCTGACGGTGTCTGAGCAGGGCAGGCCCTGGCCCCACCTCTGCAGAGGAGCAGGGCAGGGAAGAGGGTGCGCCCAGGAGACGGTTGCCATGGAGCCAGAGCAGATGAGGCAGAGCCAAGGTGGGGTGCTGATGATGCTCGGGAGAGGTGGGGAGGGGAGGCGAGGAGGCCCCGGGGCTTGGGGCCCAGGGAATGGAGGCTACCAGAGCAGACCGCTGAAGGCCTTCCCAACGTGGGGCTCCGGGCCCCTGGAAGCAACTGGTGGGGACCGGGCCCTGCTCACACTGCCCTGCCAGGAAAGGCGTGCAGAGGGCGCCCCCTTGTGGCGCACGCAGCAGGGACTGGCCGCCGCCCCTGCTGTCAAACCCTGTAAATCTTTTCGGTGATAGCACCTCTGGCTCGTCCTCCCTCGAAGCCAGGTCCAGCCGGCCCTGAGGAGGGCTCCCCGAGCGGACAGGCGGACCGGGATGTGCCCCCCTGGGGACAGGACAGCCATGTGGGTCTGGGTTTGGGGGGCTGGCGCTGGTCTCCATCCACCCCTCCCCTTCTCTGGCTTCAGGGCAAGCATTTCAACTCGTACAAAGGGCAGGAAAATCGCCCGTGTTACAGATGTGTGGGCACATATGTTGTGTATGCACACATGTGCACACACAATTCCCGCTCAGACGTGGATGAGCTGGAAAGCCTTGGACGTTGGGCCTAACAGCCAGCTGGGCACCCCTCAGCCAAGGGCCCTGCAGCCGTGGTGCAGGGGCAGGAACTCCAGGCTCAGACGACTAGGGGGCCACGGGCTGAGAAGGGCCAGGCTGCTTCTGCCAGGTCCATGGAGGGGAGCCAGGAGTACCAGGGAAGGCCCAGAAAGGCAGTTCAGCGCCATGTCTGGAAGCACAAGACCTGACCACAAACTGTCCTAAAGGGAGATGGCCTCCTGCTGTAGAGGGGGGGGGGATGCCTTTAGCTGAGGCTGGGGGCTCCCCTCAGAAAGGGGGTTCTTGTTCAGATTTGAGGTGGACTGAGGGCTGCGGGGGCCCTTTCAGCTCTGTGGTGCTGAGCTTCTGCACCTGCTATCGGCATTGCCAAATACCCACCAGGATGAAATGGTTCTAGAGTTCTGAGGCTGGCCCGGAAACTTCCCAAGACTCAGGCTCTTACCAGCAAGGACACCAACGGGGACGGGGGCTTCCAACCCTGAGACTACAGTTCTTTCAGGATTGTAGAGACCGTTGCCATCGTTTCTCTCTATCTCTCTTAGTCTGTCTCTGTCTCATACTCTCCTAGTCTGTGTCTGTCTCTCTCTTTCTCTGTCTCTCTGTCTATCTCTATCTCTCATCCTCTCTTAGTCCCTGTCTGCCTGTCTCTCTCCCTGTCTCTTTCTGTCTGTCTGTATCTGTCTCTCAGTCTGTGTCTCTGTGTCCCTGTCTCTTTCTCTCATCCTCTCCCAGTCTCTGTCTCTTTGTCTGTCTGTCTGTCTCTCTGTCTCTCTTTCTCTGTCTCTCTCTGTCCATGTCTCTCTCTGTCTCTCTGTCTCTCATCCTCTCTCAGTCCGTGTCTCTGTCTCTCTGTCTCTCTTTCTCCTCTCTCTCTATCTCTCTGTCTCTCTCTCTGTCTCTGTCTCTCTGTCTCTCTCTCTCATCTCTC